GAGTCTCGGTCTTGGTCTTGGTCTTGGTCTTGGTCTCGGTTTCGTGCTTGAGCTGCATTTCCACCTAGTTCTAGTTCCAGGAGATCCGACTGCCTTGACTTGTCTCGATATATTTTCTCTGCACTTTCCGTGCACGCCTTTGTCAGTTAACACCCATACCCCTCCGACTGTTTGTCCATCATTCTCTGTGCCTCTAGTGTTTGCTTCTTTTAGGGTTATACTCCTTGGCATTGTCGCTGGCGTTTGTTGCCCCCAAAACCTATTTGCAATTTAGACTTGTTATCGATTCAAGACAAATATTATTAGAGTAATGGCTTTTCCAATTTCTTTCAGTTTTGCTTTTGTTTGGGTCGTTGTGGCTGTCGCTGTCGCTGTTTCTTGTTCAATTAATCATGTAAAGTGCAATTTAGCTTCTGGCAGTAACAATAGAAAGTTCAGTGCATGCACCTGTCTAGTGCTTTGCTATTTGATGGGCAGATATGGTATGGGTAAGGCGTTGCGTAAAGCATATTTTGTTACTCTGGATATTAAGTCTATCTATCTATATAGCTTTGTCGAAGGGTATCTTCTAGTAGTCTATACAAACTAGAGGAACCAAATTTGGAATGGACTGACCAGAGTTTACCATTCCGGCAGACGAGATTCGGTCGGACCTCTCGTCAGATGAGGTCTGAGAAATAATGGAACGCAGTCCGAGGCAAAGCAAAACTATTTTTAATAAATAAAAGCCGCTGTGCCCCATGGCAATATATCCATCCGCTGGGTGGAAACTACGAGTACTTACTACATTAAACTAAAACAAAACCCTAGTATTGCCCTCGTAAGGCAGTTTTTGTGGTTCGGTTAGAGTAAACGTTAGCCTACCCCAGGAACCTTCTGGGGAAATATTTGAAGCTAAAGCTAGAGTCAGGACCCGTTTTACAGTTTTACTTTATGGGCTGACAATGGTGGGTCTCCGAGTAGACAAGGGCAGGTTTAGTGCCGTGCCCTAATGAGCTATAGAAATTTTGTATCCTCTTGGATAGCAATACGTATATAATCAATTTTCGTGCTCAATCTTTCTCCGGGGATTTACATACACGTATGCCGACGCGTGAGGCCCCATAAAATTTCCCGAGTCTTTAACATTTAACTCCAACCCCTTTTCTTCCTCGCCGGATACCACAAGGCTACATTTACGTTCCCCATAAAGTGCTGTACTTTTGCGGGCAGCAACTACGGAAATAGTAAACGCACGGAATGAAAAATTTAATGTTTCCACAGGCCGTGCAGTCGATTCCCTCCTACAATTCTCCCCTTTTCTGTAACCCACCAAAAGACTTCCGCTTGATTTACAGCTACATTTGTAAGTAGACACAAAACACTTAACAGCTAAAAAGGACTTTGCATAAGTAATGAGCGGAGGCGAACGTCTCTCGCCGTCCCCCCTCTGGCCGTCCGCATCTGCATATGGGTGAGACTTGAAGATCCCTCGCGAAGGCCGCCTACCGGAAGGAGGAACCGAGACTAAAGCTAGAACTGAAGCGTTGTCAGCGGTGTTCAGCAGAGCGAGAGATCCCCTGACTTTTCACACAAAGCTGCACACACACGGCCGAGTTTGGGGCTAGGGGCTTGGGGCTCGGGGCCAGCCCTTGGATAATGGAACAAGGGTCGTGCAGAGAGTTGCACGAGAAGAGACCTCTCCGTGACAACTTGATTGATGGGTGGGTGTCAAACAGCTGCTCCTACACTATCCTGCCCTGCCCTGCCCTGCCTCTCTTAGCTCTGGCTGACCGCAAAAACAAAAACAAAAACACAACAAAAAACACATTTCGCTCTGATTGCCAAAAGGGTTCTTTGGCCACGCCCCAGTTCACCTACGTCATACTCGATAACGGTGCTTTAAACATAAAAACAGGCCCGACTTCATTACGCTCCCCCCTATTTCTGGATTTGTGAACTCGGGCGTACTGGCGTACGTAGGCGGCAGAGGAAACACTGCCTTCCTTCGGGAGCTGACCAAAAATTAATTGCCTGCTCTGAGCCAGAGGACAGCTGCCATTTTGTGCCTGCCATTTGCTATGCGTAGACATGTCAATTCCCCGCCCCGCACCACCCCGACCCGCCCCGCCATTGCCCCTGCTGCTGTCGATCTCCTTCTGTGCTTCCAGGTGGCTTAAAGATTTATGATAAAGCCAACTAGTGGGTGGAGACAGCATGCCCGCCGAAGCGGGGACTGGCGAGGGGAAAAGTTTATCCAACTTTGGCTTTAACTTCGGCATCGGCTCATTGCGGCTCGTTTATCTATGAAATGAATGAATCTGATTTCCAACCACCGACCGACCGGGCGAAATGACAAACGAGGCCTTCCGAGTTTTCTTTTCAACTAGACTTCGCCATATTATTTTTGGAAATTCCCGAAGAAACAAACCAAACCAATCACTATTTTCTATTGCCAGCAGTGCGGAAATCTTTGAAAGACAATTGCCAGATGCTATTTCCAGGGAAACACTTTGTAGTAACGGAACGGAATCGCCTTGCCGGAGCTGGAGCTGCCACCCACTGTACCGTTGTGCGTGTCGCAGCTTATACTCTAGCTTAAGCGCTTAAAATGCTTTTTGACAACAGCAACAGCAACAGCAACAAAGCAAAAGAGGGACTGTGGCAGTGGCAGTGGCAGTGGCAGTGGCAGTGGCAGAGGCAATCGCAGAGCAGCTACAGTAGAATGATAAATTTCCTCTTCGTTCCACATTTCCAATGTGGGAGGCTCATATTTTCGGGCGAGCCACGCACTTTCTGACATCCCCCCCATCCGTCCATTTTGAGTACAGTTCCGCACTTCCGCTCTAAAATATCTGTGTGAAATTTCAGTGCCTCCTTTATTTTTCTCTTCTCCTCATACTGTTGTAAATCGCAGCTCCGCCAATTTGCGCTCAATTAATTTTGATGTTTCTTTCTCTGGTTTTTGGGGGCTCTTCCTTTTTTATTATTTGCGGCTCTCCTCTTATTTATCATTTGCCGCGCTGTGTATAATTTATTAAGTAGCAAACATTTTGCGAGCTTTTCGCCTCTGCTTAAACATTCGCAGCCATTCGCCGGACGGACAAGTACGAGCATTCTGCGCCGTAATTCAATTTGCTGCCTTTTCCTCTTTTATGGACGCATGCCACACAGTTTGATGGATATGCATTAATTGCGTTTGCAGATACTAATTAACTGGCATTTCATGCAGATTTTTCAATGAAATTAATTATGAAATAATTATGTTGTAATTTCTTTATCATAATTCACGCGTTTTCTGCGCGTCCGCAATCAGGCAAAAAGTACTCTGTTCGAGAGGGCACTCTGTCCACAGAGCGTATTAATTGAGTTTGCCATGTGGCCAGACATGGACATGTGGCTGCATGTTTAATGGCTCGAGTCAGATGGCAAAGGTGTCGATAACTGGAGTCGAAAATTAGAAGCAGCCATCTACATCTACTCTTTGCTGTTTGCTGGTAGAGAAGCCGAAGGAGCTGAAGATCGCAAAAAAAGTGTTTTATTTTTAGCTGCAGACCTGCACACCTTTAACAAAATGAAAGGAACGAATGTAACTATACGTTCTTTCAGTCAGTGACTTATCGTCATTCACGTTTCCATTATCAATTTATGCAGTACGAGTCTTCCATGCCTCCTGCCTCTGCCTCCTGCCTCCTGCCTCCTGCTCGCATGTGCGACAGTTTCTCCTAGCCTGGCTGTGCTGTCTCTCCAAAAACTCTTGACAACACTCAAATCCTACTTTCGTTTTTCGACTCTTGCTTTTAGGATGCGCACGTAGCTGGGACCGGCCATGTGCCTGTTGCCGGAAATATTTTTCACACTTGATATAACAGGCAGCCATTTGCCTGCACTGCAGCCTCCGGTCCTTCCCCTTCTGCATTGCTCGCCTCGCCATACCCAGGCCCCAGTCGCATGACAAGAATACGCTCCAGGTGTCAACGTTTTGGGTATCTGTGAGTCTGCCATGTGTCTGTTTCTGTTTGTAATGGCTCCCAAGGCGCACAAACAAAACTGTCATCATCGGTCCTGCAAATTCCACAGAACGAGCAGGGAAAGGGGAGCAGAATCCGAACAAAATCCGGCTGGATCCCTGGCACAGTCGAGTCAAAGCGAAATACGCCCGCGCTCGTTTGACGTGACTAATGCAATTTTTATGCTGCACTTGCTCCATGGCTTTCCAAAGCAAAACAGGCTTCCGTTCGGCAACGGCAACGTCTTGTCATTGTTTCCGCTCCCGAGTCTGGCAGCATCTCGCCAGACCCGGACTACAAAGGCAGCGCGCTTATTAAATTGCGTGACTGCATTGAACCCTCGCCCCTGCTACACCGCTGTTCTATGCGGACTCTCACATAGTTACTCTGATCAAAATTCCTTCGAGATAATGCCATCGACGGCTCCTGCCACCTGCAGTAGACCCAGCATCAACAACAGCTTCATTAAATGCTGGACGCAGTGCTCAGGTTACCGACAGCGGGTTATCCTCGTTCTGATTCCCAGCTAGCGTTTTTTTCTAGCTCACAGATTTCCCAATTTGCTGAACTGCAGCTCAGATATTCCTGATCACATTTGGTCAGGGCAGAATAATTGTCAAACTCCTATATATTAGAACCCACAGACTCCTTACACATAAAACGTCGTTGGTAGTTTTTAGTAGAAGATTATATATCTAAGTACACTCTTAAGATGATCTCCAAACTTTAGCAAAATCAACGAACTAAGTTGTCTAATTTATCCTTACAATCTTATAAAATTCAACCACAAGGCTATTTTCTTCGACTAGAATAACTTAACGTTTCATATTGATCAGCTTTAGCTTCAATGAGGAAAATGAGGAAAATACAATTTTTAGTGAAAAATACAAAGAAACCTAAATGTTTAATTTCTTAGCTAAGATTATCACCGCTGGTTTTAGTGCTGATTATTTAAATTTTACTCAAAATCATCCCTGATCACTCATCAATGATGAGTGGCAAGGCACTTACCTTTCACCAGGGTCAGAATGCCCAGCGGCATCACCAGCATAGCGACCATCAGATCCGTGATGGCCAACGACATTAAAAAGTAGTTTGTCACATTCTGCAGACGCCGCTCCCAGGCGATGGCCAGGCAGACCAGAATGTTGCCGGCAGCTGTGCCTAGGACCAGCACGAGGGCGAGGAGGGCCCAGTAGTTGTTGGCGTCGAACGGGGATTCATCAATGGGCTTTGGCTCTCCGGTGGAATTGCTGGCATTCCACCGCTGCTGATTGGGCTGCTTGCTGAGGTTCCTCCCGTCCTCCCAGAGCAGCAGGTCCTGCAGCTGGTCCACGCTGGTTTCCGCACTGCTCCACCCACCGTCGCCGCCGCTGTCGTTGTAGGCACCCAGCGAGGCATACACATCCTCCTCCATGGTCTCAGCCCAACGCGGGTTATTAGTCCTTTTGTGTACTCTACTCTGATTGCGGGTCTAGCTGCTGCCGTCGTTGTCGTTGGCAATGCCGCATGCTAATTAGCCCACGCATACGAGTATGCGACCAAAATGAGAAAAATACGTTCACGCGCCAATTCGAATTGCAAATGTAAAATGGCGGAAACGACAGCCCCGGAAATAGGTACCAGGCACCAGGCACCAGGTACCAGGTGCGGGCCAACGACAAATAGCTCGAACAAACTGGAGTCGACGGTGCTCCTGGCTGGCTTAGGGATCCCCAACCACAACGTCTACAGCAGCATGAGCAACCAAACGGATATTGGTCGCAAATATTTTATGCCACGAAATTGCCGGAAGTTTGTGCTGTACGGGAGGAACAGAGAGAATGAACAAATTAAAGAAAACTATTTCAATTGGCAATTTTCACAGAAAGTTAAGTTTGAATGGTAAATATTTTCGGACTGAAGAAGGCCTGGTGAAGTTTGGTTATCGTTTTATGAACGCTATACATATATGTATATATGTTGTTATCGCTTTTTGATACAACAGAATAGGTTTGACACCATCAAAGTCTTTTGTGTAGCACGAAGATCGCCGCAGAACTACATATACATATACTCGTACATATATGTACATATGTATATCAATAATAATTAAGTGACGGCCATAAATTATCAAACACCCCATCCACTCGGGTTTGCCCGACTCACAGGTTTCCATTCAGGCGAATGGATGACATAATTGCATTTGATTTGCAGAACCTAGTCCTGAGGGTGGGTCCTGCCCTGGGGAAGCAGACTTTGAATAATCGGAATCGATATTGATAAGGAACAATAACAAAAATCAAATCAATTCTCCCAATGCGATGTCACAAACATTGATAATTAATTGAGACATATTTCACGCCGGGACTCGGAACTGGGGACTCAGACACAAGCATGTTAGCAGCAGAATTAAAGTGCCAGGCCAAAGCCAAACCCCGTAACCCGAAACCAGACCACAAAAGTCGGGAAACCGCAGGGAAAGCCACACAAGCATCGGTTGAATATTATACCCCAAAACAGAACTAAATGAAATTAATTTCCAAAACAAAGGAAACACAATTCACCAGTCGCAAAAGCATAACTGAAGGAGGCAACCGACTGGTTGGGCTATTTTCGAAGCCGATATGGTCAGCCAGGCAGTACAGCCAGCCACAGAAATAGAAGCAGGACCAATACAACCCACAATAACAAGAATCTCAGAAACAATGGCGAAACAACATGCACTCGAGCAACTTTTGGCAAAGGACCTCAACTTGACAACACCTTGTTGACTTTCCGAGTGGTAGCCCTGCCCCACCTTGCCCCACTCTGCCCGCCCAGCTGTCTGCACGTTCTGTCAAATGTTCGAGTGTCAATGTTGCTGTTAATTAATTTTCCCGACTGACTGACTGACTGACTGACTGACTGACTGACTGATGCATGCCACTAGATAAGAGGAGCGGAGCCCTACTCCGGGCTGACCCTTACCGAGGTCCAGGCGGTGGCTTGATAAACTGTTTGTTTGCTTGTCCGAGCCGTTGTCGAAGGTGTTGTTGGTCCCTCTGTTACTGCAGCCGGCTAATGACAGCCAAACGGCCACTTCAGTAGTACTCCTACCTAGTAGTCCCTACCAGCCATGCCCGCTCCCGCTCCCCAGAATGCCAGGTCGAATGCGTGTCGAGTGTGTCGAGTGTGCTGTTGAAGTGTTTAAATTTCCAACTGCCACTGTTATATGTAGGCGAGGAATATGTTACGTTGCGTTGGCTATTCCTAGGTCCTAGGTCTTGTGAAATGTGTACCATTATGGGACTCAACTCATACAAAATGATCAGAGAACACTTGAAGCCCAATAGCTAAATTTCCTCCTTTCGCTTAGCCTTATGATTACCATATTTTTGAGTTAAGTTGAAAAAGTTCCGACTCCAAGACCAGATACCATTTACTAGGGTACCAAGCCTTCGAATAATTGGTGTAATGCTTGTCCCAGGCTGAAATAGCATGTCAGCACAATACGAACTTGGTAAAGTCAAGCGCAGAGCCCATAATTATTATTTGTCCCTCCTGGCGCAGACCGTTCGGACATGAATTGCACAAAAGCCGTATTCCTATCCGGGGAGGGCGGTGCTTGAGTTATGGCTAGGTAGCCAGGCACCGGCTACCAGGTATCGAATAAAAACCAGCGCGCCATTAGTCATATTAATCCCGGTGGAGTCATTAAGTCGTAAAACTGCGAAAAGTAGCAAAGTGTGAGGCAGCAGCAGGCCATCAGGGTCCCAAACACTGGCAGGGCGGGCCAAGAGGGCTTTTGTTTGTCTTCCAACATTATTCATTGATACGACTGTACGTAAGCTAACTATGTAGGTCAATTTTGGGCTGTTTGACGCCCCGTCAAAGTCAATAAATAAATAAATGACACAAATTTAAGGTGTCCGGTCGTACACATAATTTACCAAACGAACTTCAGGCTTGTAAACAAAACAATTACAGGCAAGAAAAGTGCCAAAAAAAAACCCACACGGATTCACTCCTTCTTGTTTCTCGACTTATCCTATAAAAAGAATAATCTGAAAATATGTAAAAATGTTCTTTGCTGAACACACAAATGGGATATCATCTTGTACATACCTACGTATACCGCGATTTATTTCTAAAAAACATTTCCGAACCTTAGAAATCTCCCTTATTATTATTCACTGATGTACTATATTGCTATTGAGTTTTGGCTGTTACAAATACCCTGGGCGCAAACAATATAAACACCATAATTGTATCGATGTGTATAATATAACTGTTTGGGCTTTTAAATTGATGACTATTTTTAACTTTTAACTTAGCTGAGCTCAAAACTGGAGAATTGCCAAATTGTCCACATGGATCCTGCGTTGAATGAGTAAATCAACTGCACGTATGAACGTAAATACATTTAGTTATGTATTTGGACCTTTTTTTATAATTTCCAGATTTCCCCGAGAAATGCCAACGTTAGTTTAGCTTCCGTTACTCGGATTTGTGCTGGCATCCAGCTCAGTGTGGCTGCAAATCAAATATAAATCCCCAATCTGATCAGAATTTCAACTCAACTCAATTTCGCTCCACTCCACTCCAGTCACAGGCCATTTCCACTGTCCTGGGGGATAAGTGCAGCTAATCGCATGCTCATTGCTCATCCGCCGCCTATCCTTCGGCACATTGCTTATCTGCAGCGTAATCTGGCATTTCCACAGAGCCCATCGTTCGGCGTACGTCGCATCACGCATACGCCACGTACGCCAGATCTCCATCTCCCACTCCCCTGAGAACGGATACCTGGCTGCCTGTAGGGCAAAACACAATCTGAGGTACAGCAAACGCTGCTCAAATATTTGCTTTAAAATATCTTTCACATGTCAGCGACAAGCGGCCACCGGGGAAATGCTGGAAAGAGAAAACTTGGCTGAGCTGAAAAGGACAGGAAAGGAAACAGCTGAAGCAGGTGCGGTTGCTCGGCATTTTTATTTGGCCTGGCAGCCAAGGCACGCAATTTGATTTAATTTTTCTTGTTATTGTATATTTATGCTTTCTTTTTGCAACGATCAAAGCAAAGCGAAGCGTGGCCCAAAACATTTTGAGGTCATTGAAGTTGAATTTTAGCCTCTGCACGGAAATGGTGAACAGGACAATGACATTTGCTGTGTACCATTCCAATTCCTTGTGTTTTCATACATTAATGAATATTTCATAAAGGTCGGCTTATCAAATAACGTATGGAGCTGGTGTTCATTTGATGTGAGTAGTGGCTTCAAATTGATTAAGAATTATTACAATTGTCTCCTAAAAACATTGTGCTCTTCGGCTACGGAGAAAGAACCACATTTACGGGAAATTTGTATTCCCCTTCCTCTGTCCGATTTGTCTGGCAGAAGCAGAAAAAAGCATGCATGCATGTTGTCTACTTTTGGTTGCTGATGTAATGCGTAATATTCTGTTAACTAGACTTTTCCGGTTTCCTGAAAATAATTCCATTCCGTCAAGCAAGCCAGAAAGCCGCACCCACTGCGGGAAGACCGCCCCAAGAGGCAACCAACGATTAATCACAGTTACAGTTATACTCGTATGTAGTGGTAGCATTTACTGCTGGTAGAGGAGGAACGCAGAACCTCAAAAATATTTGCATGCAGTCAATATTCGGGTATTGTAACTTTGTGGTGACTTATGGAACGCCTGGCAAAGACACATGAGAGTATGAATTTTGAATTTTGAATGACTTGAAATTAGTTATTTTTTTTTTAATGGATGCTGTCCATTTTGGAATTAGTTAATTATCACTAATGGTAATTCGCTTCATTAACAAGCGTATTCTGTTTAGCCTTCTTATGCATTCCATCTCATGACAGTCATATTACACCGAACGTTTGATTCCCTGCTACTATCCAGTGCCTCTCCCTATTTTCAAGGGGCTAGAGCATTCCAGCTTCTGCTTGCCCGTACAATGGCAGTGTTCTTTGCTATTTTCACTCAGAGTAGTATACTTGGGGCGCTCCATTAATCACACAAACCTACGAAGGGGCCACCCACTTCCCTCCTCGTGTCTCCTCGCCTGAATCTCGCCCGAGCTCTCCCACATCCACATCCCGACTAGTTGTCATAGCAAGTTGACACTTAAAATGTTAGCTAAATTTACACATGCACTCAGCTCAGAGTCAACACGGAAAACAGCGCAGAAGGGGATCAGGCAATGCTCTCGATGCTTATTGTCAGGCCTGATGCTGGGACTGGGGATGCGGCTGATGATGGGTTGAGGTTGAGGTTGAGGCGTGACTGATGGAGGCGGCAACTCTAACACTTATCGTTCATTATTATCTATCGCCATAGCCATCGCAATCACCCCACCCACTTCCCCACATGGTCACACACACTTAATTGATTTCTTTACTGTTTCCTCTTTCTTTTCTGCTTCCGCTCAGCCCGAACCGATGACGACAAAAAATCCTTTGGATAAAAACTGTGCCAGGACAATGTTGCGTCCGCTTCCCCCATGTACATGTGTGTGTATGTATCTCCATGTTGCCCGAATAGTTTACACCACAGATTGGCACAGACAAATCTCTAGTCGGGCACGATACTGGCGACCCTTGAGCTCAGCGTGGCTTAGGGCGTGGGCTATAAATTAAATTCTTATGCGTGGGGGCAGGCAATTAAGACGGACCCAGACACAAGAGCAGAGTG